AAACTGTCCACATATCTGGAACAGCCAACCTTGTTAATGTCTTTCTGTAAGGTGAGACTGAGAGAATTTATTTGTTTCAAGTTCTATGGCCATAAATATAAATTTATAAATATAAATATATATTAATCTTTATGTTTATACTTGATTGGACATATTCCTAAATATTTTAATAATCAAGTAACTAAAAAATAGCTGAAAATAGACAATAGCCTGCAAGCAAAAAGAGCACCCAGGATTATAAGTATCCAGTGAGATTTCTGTTACACCATGCCCTTGTTCAGAAAGGTGGCTCCATATCATATGAGACACAAATGCAGTTCAGCCCAAGTCAGTCAAAACTTATGTACCTTATCTTGATAAATTCTTGAAAACAGAATGTTATAAAGTTTTAGATAAATCCAGACTTTAATCAGTGGTTTACATATTGCTTCATGTTTATGCTTAAAGGAGGCTTTTACTATTAGAGTTTTATTTCTCAAAAAGAGAACCATGTATATGGAAATTGGGGGAACAATTGGTGTTCTAACCTCTTGTTGAGGGATTCAGTAGGTTATTGTTCTTCACACAGTATGTATAGACTTTCTTTCTCTCCTATGTAGTTTATTTCTATTACCTGACTAAATCATGTGATTTGGGAAAAGAAGACAATATAAAATAACTAAAAGTAGAGCTACTGTGATTGATGTCAGCCCCAGTCATTTTAGAATCCTCCTTTCTTGCCTTCTTTTTACCTCATCTTCTCCTTGTTCCCCAGGTAATTCAAAACCTTTCTTTCATTTTAAAAAGCACAGTTTCAAAATTATTTCGCAGACTGCCTCTTAAAGACTCAACCCAATCTGATACAATCACAGAGTATCATTTTATATATACCATGAGCATCATTATGTATATCCAGATATTGTCTGTGTAACACTATCTCCTACATTAGCTTAGGGAATCAAATAAAGGTAAAGTCTTCTCATCCAAACAAAGGCAAAATGCCAAGATAATACAAACAAGCGAACCAACCAAACACAATACTATGATATCCTGTGAAACCAAATAATATCTTCTACAAACAAGGACAAACAGGCAAGATAAAATAAACAAAAAAATCCCAATGATTGTCTTAATCTCATAAGGGCACAGAAAAAAATCTCATTTTGAAACCAATCTTAAACTTCTCCTGTTTCCACCCTAATGCATAGATGAGCTGGGATGACAGTAATTCAGAAGGCTCAGACATTGTCTCTGACAAAACTTTGCAAACACACCCTGATATACTATTGAAAGAGATTTCACATGTTTTCCACTCTTTATAGACTTCTAGAGGCATTCTTGCTGGATATATGGACATTTGATAATGAATAAGGCAGTTCATACAGAATTACAGTCATTTTCTTTGATGCTTCTTCTTCGGATTTCTTAGTACTTAAAACAAAGTTCAATAGCATTAACTTATTTTATACCATGTTATATACATGGTCTCTTCCTCCCTAAAAGCTTTTGGTTGGATATGAGAAAACTGAGGTTCTGAGAGAGTGTTAACCAGCTTGGGCTGCCATCACAAACTGCACAGCACAATACATACCATAGCATAAGAAATACCATGCATTAGGCTCCTTTAAACAACAGGAAGTAATTTTCTAACAGTTCTGGAAGCTGGCAAGTCCCAAATCCAGGGACTGAACAATTCAGCTTGTGATGAGAGCTCTTTTCATGCCTTGTTGATGGCCACTTTCTTGCTATGTTCTCACATAGTGGAGTGGGAGCTCTCTGGTCTATCTTACAGGAACACTAGCCCTATCAGATCACAGCTTTACCCATACAACTTCATCTCACCTTACTTACCTCCTTCTAGGCTTCATTTCCAACTAAAGTCATTTGGGGGTTGGAAATTTAACACATTGATTTTGGGGAACAAAATTCAGCCCACATCCTTTAAGGCAGCAGAGTCAGGATTGAATCAAAGTAGTAGTTTTACACCAGAATCTTCTTGTTATACCTTTATAGCTATGTAAGATTCTTTCAGATCATTAGACAGGTGGCTAAGTTTTCATGAAATCCTTCTTACCTTTCTTTCTTGCCTTTTCTAAATCTTCCCCACATTCTAACCCCACAGGGTTTATGTCATTTGTGCCAAAGAGTAACCCCTTCCACGGAGTAGCACTCCTACCTGTGCAAGAACAAAATGCCCCAAATAAGAGGAATGTTCAGTTCTTTTCTTTTAATTTTTTTTGGTACCGGGGATCAAACTCGAGTCTTTGTGCTTGCGCAGCAGGCGATGAAACCACTGAGCTAAATCCCCAACCCTGGAATGTTCACTTCTTTAGGAATGAAATATTAATTTTGAACCATGTGGAAGACATATTTTTAAAGAGATTTTGTCCTCATTTCTCAGATGACCCTTAGGGAAGATTATAGTATTTAAGATTATGAACTCATAGTTCATACATTTCCTATCAATATAGTCTTTCTTCTTTGATATTTCAGAATAATATTTAAAAATTCATTTCATTCAATATCTGCTCATTATACTTACAAACACTTAACTGAAATTTAAAGATAAAAGATGACTCTTTCTCTCAAGAAAATTAGAGGAAATCAGGCATTACTGGAGAACTAGACTTGTACACAATTAACTATAATCCATGTATAATATATTAGGTCTCAAAAATAATTGAAAATTATGATCTAACATTTCAAAAAATGAAGTCAGATAAGAGCTTTAGATTCTTTTTATTTTATTTTATTCTATGGAAAGTGAGGCACTCTTGAAATGTTTTAAATTGATAGAGTTTGATCTGATTCATTTTTAGAATTACCTCTAAAATAAAGAGAGGCTAAAAAGCAAGAGAGCCCTTGCTATTATAATTGTCCTAAGGTAAATTCTAAAGAAAAAGAGAAGTTGTTAATAGTAGAACCTTTGTAAGTTAAGGGTTTGATGTTTGGAAACCTCCTTCCAACTTAAATATTAATTAGTGTTTTATCATATTTTATCCCTTTTATCAGGATGCTACTTAAAATAGTTAATAAATATAGGCCCTGACAATCAGAACAGAAAACTGACCAATAAAAATTGACCAGTTCACAAATACTTTTTTTTTTTTGGGGGGGGTACTGGGGATCGAACTCGGGTCTTTGCACTTGCGCAGCAGGTGGTGAAACCACTGAGCTAAATCCCTGGCTATCATAAATACATATTTAACAGTTGTGATCATACTGATATGTATTGGATAAATGTCGGATCTGCCTTTGACTCTTATATTATACTCATGGACCCTATGATTTGAAAGATTCTGCTTACTAAGCAAATTTCAAAACTTAAATAATAAACAACACTTCAATTTCTTAATGATTGGTTTCTATGATACACAGCTTAAGATCAGTGTGACACATTGAGCTGATACAACTTTAGTACTAATTCATAAGACTTCATGTCAGGTGGCCTATGTGACCTCATATTGGCCTAACTTTACAAAGTTTCTAGAGGAGAGTGGACTGATATGGATTCTATTGGTTTAAACTGCACTCCTCATAGCCTTTTGATGTTTTCAAACAGTCCCCCTTCCCCTCTCTATTTTATATACACACATGTATGTACATGCATATTTAGCTTACATGAATATCTTTATAATTTATGTATCAAGTATTGCTGAAGTCTCTACCACTCCTGTTTGTCTTACACATTTGAGTTATCTTCTTGGCCCCTAAGGCATATGAGGTTGTCATCCATGATTTAGATCTTTCTATGTTTTTGTTTCTTTTCTTTTTTTTTTCGGCACTGTGGATCGAACGTGGGACCTTTCACTTGTGAGGCAGGCGGCTGAACCACTGAGCTAAATCCCGGTCTGTTTCTATGTTTTTGGAAGCATCATTTTGTCCATGTCATAACCCAATATCCAGTAGTATGAATACTGCTGTGAAAGGATTCTAAAAATTTCTGAATTGTTTCCATCGTTTGAAGCACTGTTAAAAAGGGAAGATTTTACTGTACGCATTTGATGAATTCTGAGTGAGGTGAAGTCAACTTGACTTCACATTGCATTTCAGCTTTATTACGTTTTTTAGATTCTAGTACTGACCTTTGAAATAATTTTGAAAAGAAAAATGGACTTATCACGCTATATACAACTTCTCCTTTAGACTTTTGCTTTGGTTCTTCCTTTTCCTTGCTTCCCCTGCTCCTCCCCTAAACCACTGCTCTCAAAAATACCTGCCCCTGACCTACGCTTAAAAAAAAAAAAGAAAAGAAAAGAAAAGAAGAAAAAAGCACCTGTGCTTTTGAGTACCCTGCAGTGGCATCCTGGCCCCAGCTGCATTTCAGGGACCCGTTGTCACATCCTTGAGCCACCTGGATGAGCCCTTGCTGCTACTGTCCTCCCAAGGAACCACTTCCCAAGGCTGGAGCAGAGTCCAGTCCCAGATATGGCCAACATTGTGTTGTAAGTGTTGTTTCTCCGTTCCTGTTAATCCTTGCTGAGAGGAAGGATAATTTTAGTAGGAACAAAGAATAGAAGGGCCTCCAGAAGACTGGTATTGAATGACTGTAACCCAAGTGAGAGATAGATTGTCTTTTTGATCAACATTAATGAGCGAGGGTGTATGTACTTCAGGGAGAGCACACTACAAACACTTTACAAGAGGAGATCATGACCAGCACCTGTAATTCTTGCTTATAGTCACAAAATCTGAATGTCGGTACACCCTGGTGTTTGCCTTGCACTGTTAATGTTAAGTAAGAACATGGATGGGAAATGAATGGCAGTACTGGGGAAGTTGTTTTTTTTTTTTTTCTCCTTAAAAAAATGGCAGATGGTATTTTGAACATAAATAGCCATGAAGTATAAAAGTATATGAGTTCTGGCTGTTTGAGGGAAAAAAAATAAATTGATTTTTTTTGTTGTAAAAAATTAGTTTGAGGAGCTCTCAGAAATTTAAAGGAAAAAGCAGTGAGTGAAGAGAATGAACTGCAAGATAGTGTTTGTGTAACAAGTACGTCAAACCACAAAAGTCACATGGGCTCTTTCTGCTTTGCTACTTTTGATTGCTCGCCAGAGGGTGTACCTTTAGCTTCCCCCATCCTGCAAGGCCACTCAACCATGTGCCAGCTGGAGTAATCTTTATTCACAATGTCTTTACAAAGGCTTCTGCAACAGAGCAGCAATCGCAACTTGGTGGACTACTGCACCAGTCCTGCGTCTAGCTCGTACGCCTCACTCACAGGCAGTCTTGAGATGGATGACAACAGAAGGATTCGAATGCTGGCAGACACCGTGGCTACTTTGCCTCGGGGACGAAAGCAGGTATGTTGCTAGTTTGTTCTCTTGAGACCAGGGTAATATTTGCCTGACTTCATTCTGAAGATGTTGTTTTAGAGACTTTGGAATTAGTCACTGAGTATGAGGCGGGGGCTGAGACTAGTGGACCAGTCTAGAGATTTGAGACCAGAGTCAAGCAAACTTTTTTCTTTTTACCAAGGCAAAACTTAAAAGATTGTTTTTCTCATTTAAAGGGGTGCTCTGGTAAAATGAAAATGGTTGCACATAACATAGATGCAGATAGTTTATATAAGAATTACTGATCTTTTGTTCATTTTTCTCATGGATTCTTTTCCTCCCACCCACACTCTCTGCCTTTGATGGTCATTTTAGTTCATAGTCAAAAGAAAATACTTTTCTTTGAGGGAAAATTTTGTTGACACTGGCAAATATCTCTTGCTCCTGGGAATAAGACTTTTTTCTATGCCAGGTGGAACACTGACTAGCTGTGGGATCTTGAGCAAGTCGTTTGTCTTTCTAAGATTCAGTTTCCTTTTTTTGAAATGAAGATAATAATAGAAGTACCCTAATTGGGCTTGAATGTAGCTTAAGTATGGAAATGTACAGTGCCTAACACAGTGGCTGACACACAGTATGTGATCAGTAAAGGCTACATTATGCTATTTTTAAATTTTATTGCAGAGTATTTCTCTGGGGATGAGAAACAATTGAAAAGAGATCCATATCTTAACTGCAGTTGTTCTGATTTTATTTATTCTTCAATTTCTAATATGCAAAAAGTAGCCATACTACTTGTTTAGGTCTTGCTTACATACTTGTTGTATAACTTTAAGTGCAGATTTATCTTTAGATGCAGAATTCATTCAAAAAATATTTAGAATTACCTTAGAGCATGGCTTTTTGCCCTTAAATTTCAGATGTATATCAGGTGCTCCTCTGAATCCTTCTAATATTTTTTTTTGCTTAAATTCTTTTATTGGTACATTTTAGGTATACAATATGTTAACATTTCTCATTGGGTACTTGTACCTGTAATCTTGTTTCCTTTTTTAGAATAATTATCAATATTTTTGATATTTCTGACAGGTTTTTTTCCCCATTTAGTTTATTAGTACATTTTAGGTATACAATACAGTTACATTCATCATTGGGATCTTGTACCTTTACATGATGTATTTTGGTTCTTATTTTTTCCCCATTCCCTGTGCTCCCTTCCCTATCTACAAAGACTTTGTTTCCATTTTTTCCTTTTCTTATAATTTTTCCTTTCCCTTCTTTCCTTTCCCCTTCCCCTCCCACTTCCCCTACCCCTTTGGACCTTTTCTATTTCAAATTATCAATTATTCATCTTAATCATTTTAATCCTTATTTGCACTTTTAGTTTCTCACACCAGAGAAACTATTTGGTATTTACACGTGTGTCCTATTTATTTCACTTAAGAGTACAGCCTCAATATGCATCAATGTAGCTATAAATGTCTCTAGTTTCTCGTTCTTTATGGCTGAGTAGTACTCCATTTTATAAAAAAAAAACAAAAAACCTTCTTTATCCAGTTTCCGGTTGATGGGTAATTGGGCTGTTTCCAAGCTTTAGCTATTACTAACTGTGCCGCTATAAACACTGTTGCACATATGTCTCTGTGGTATGATTCTTTTAATTCTTTTGGGAAGATATCCAGCAGGAGAATAGCTGGGTCAAATGGGACCTCTAGTCCTAGTTCTTTGAGGTATCCCCATACTGATTTCCACAGGGGTTGCACCAGTCTGCACTCATACCAACAATGTAGAAGGGTTCCTTTCTCACCATACCCCCGCCAGCATGTTATTGGTTGATTTCTTGATAGCAGCCATTCTTTCAGGGGTGAGGTGGAATCTGTGTTATTTTCATCTGCATTTCCCAAATGGTCAGCGATGTTAAACATTTTTTCATATGTTTATTTGCTATTTCTACTTCTTTGAGAAATGTCTGTTCATTTCAGATGCCCATTTTTGAATTGGGTCTTTAAATTTGGCAAGTCTGATTTTTTTCAATTCTTTATATATTCTAGATAGTAGTCTTTTTTCTGAGGTACAGCTACTAAAATTTTTTTCCCACATTGTAGGTTTTCTCTTAGCTCTGTTGGTGGTTCTCTTGCAGTGCAGAAGCTTTTTAATAAGATGAGATCCCAGTTGTTGATTCTTTGTGCTAGTTCCCCTGCTACTGATGTTTTGTTCATAAAGTCTTTTCCTATGCCATTGTCTTCAAGAGTTCTACCTAACTTATCTCCCAACAAGTTTAGTGTTTCTGTTTTAATATTTAGATCTTTAATCCACCTCGATCTTAGTTTAGTGCATGGTGATAGATATGGGTCTAGTTTTAATCTTTGGCAGGTTGAAATCCAGTTTTTCCAACACCATTTATTAAATAGGCTATCTTTGCTCCACTGAGGGTGGTTGGCTCCTTTGTCAAAGATGAAGTGGCTGAGTATGTCTGGAGTTGTTTCTGCATCTTCTAATCTTGAATCCTTCTAATTTTAAGAATAGAGAGTTAAACTAATTTTTCAGTGATGGATAGGGCTGATTCTTTAGTATTTTTTCACAGTTAAAATAGGGCATAATCTGCTGCATTTTAGATTATTGATATTTCTGAATCCGAAGTACATTTATGATAGAAAGTTTAATATAATGACAAGCATTCCTAGCAATTTACAACCTGTCTGAAAACAAAGTAACATGGGAAATCTCAACATCTTTATTGTTTTCAGATATAGAACAGTCCATTTTACTTTCTATTCTTCATAAAGCTATTGGACTAAATATGGTTCATTTGGAAAGGCTGAGCTTTCATTGTTTTGGTAAATAGCTACTGGTCAAGAAATGTTTTAATTTTTGAATCAGGGTAGGAACTTTTCATCCTGTCCTCCACTCCTGAAACTTTACTCATTTTTTCTACTTCTCAGCTCAGGCATTTCAGTGTAACAGACAGTTTCAGAGCACCCGAAAGGGGATAGACACCATGCTTCTTTTAGAAGTTAAAATATTAGAAGAGCACGTTTCCCATGTAGAGAGAATTTATAATTCAGGAGGCACATTATACCACATAAAATGGCATAAATACTCTCCAAGTAACCTGGTCTTTGAATATAACTTTGAAGCTCTTCAGAATTCTAGAGTAAGGGAATAATTAATGCTGGCACTCAGTACCTGTTGCTCTGGGGGTATAACAACACAATAGTGTGTCAGGAAGACCCAATGCATTTGCAGGAGGAGAGAGGAGACCTCAGAGCTGGGTTGCTTTGCAGAACACTTGAACAACTTTCCGGAGCGAGAAGACAGTTGTTCTTTGGTATCTACAAGGGATCACTGCCAGGACCCTCCATGGAGAGCAAAAATCCATGGATGCCCAAGTCTATCATAAAATAGCATAGTGTTTCCATATAAACTGCACACATCCTCCTCTGTACTTTAAATCACCTCTAGCCTACATATAATAACTAATAGATGTGAATGCTATATAAATAGTAGTCCAATTTTATTGTTGGAATAATGACAAGAAAAAATCCTCTGCATGTTAGTATAGATTTCTTATTTTTTGCTTTTGATTATTTTCAATATGTGCTTGTTTGAAACTATGGATACAGAGAGCCGACTGTAATTTGACCAGCAAGCACAAAGAGCCATGGAATGTATATGAGCAGTAGAGAATTTCAGGAACCTTACTTGAGAAAAGTGGTAGATTGGTGAGGTAAGACTAGTGTTGAGGGAGAAATTTTGCAGTAGTTGGAGAAAGAGGAAATGAAACAATGAGGAAGAAACAGAAATCTTTGAAAGTCAATGGAAGATGGAGGAAGCATATCTGATTTTAAGCCTAAGTGAAGATGGCAGGAGTTAAAAAGTCAGTTACTAGGAGAGACTGATTATTGAAGAAAGACAATAAGAAGGGTTCAGACATATGAAATATGTGTTTGTGTGTACACACGCATGCACGCACATGTAACATATACATATATGCATGCATGTACACACATCTCTTACCAATGAATTTATGCATAGTTCTTATCTTTTTTAGTTCTTCTTTTCTCCTCTTCCTTCTCTCATATTAATTCAAATAATAGATTTTCCTTTTCTTTTTGGGAGGGTGTTTTCAAGTGATTTATTAAAACTTTTCAGACATTGATCAAGATGCCGTATGTATAGGTACCAATTCTCCAGAATGAATATATTTATTATGTGTAGCAAACACATACAAATATGAATATTATAATAAAAATGATATAATCAGCTGGACATGGTCTCAAATGTTTGTATTCAAAAAAAGGGTAAGAATCTCTGCAGCTTATGTCACCAGGTTAATGCAATCTTTACCTAAATCCAGACAACATGTTTACATGAAAAGGAAAATATAGGTCCATTATACATATGCATGCTGATTTTCAAATCCAGGATAAAACATTACCTAGCAAAATACAAGTGTGCTAGAAAAGTTTTTCATCTTTTCATGTAGCTGAGAAGTAGCATAGGTCCCTAGCCTGCATGATGCCCTAGGTTTATTTATTTATTTTTTGCTTTTTATAAAAGCAAAACTAAACACTTTGAACATGACACTTTTGATTCAATACAATCATCATCAATGAAACTTGATTGAAGTTTATCACTACATTTCAGAATGTTCCAAATGGACATTCACTTCCTATAACTGATTTTTAGAGAACATTCACTCTTTTGGCATAGATTGAATGGCAGGCAACAAGATCCCAGTGAGGCAATCCCTTGAGCAGGTGTGTCTCTGCCTACTGTTATTTTTAACACTTTGAGGATTGACGTCAACAATTCATACTTCTCGTTATTGCTGGCTTGGGTTTCTGCAAAGATATATTTGGTTAGTCTCTAGTTTCAGATTAATCTTCAGAATCAATGGGGTGTTTACCTTCAGAATTGTTTAAAAATAGATTTCAGGTGTGAATATTACTTCAATATCTGAATTTGTAGGAAGTGCTGGACATCCCAGAAGAACTTCTAGTTTTAAATATAGTTTTAGGGGAGAA